GTGGCTCGTCCTGCAGTCCACAGGCCTGGACGGCCGGCCGCTGACGGGAACCCCCTTTCTTTAGAGAGGATCCGACGATCTCCGGACATCACGTGCGTCTTCCTGAATGTGGAGAGGATGGCTGCCCCGACCAAGGTATCCCAGAACGTGGCTTTGCTCTGTTTGCTCCCACGCTCCACGCAGTGAAGCAGTGGACGCCAGAGGGTCCCGACACGCAGGGGCCAGACGGGGTGACGGTGGCTTTAACGCACGAGGGAACGTCCTCCTCCCTGTGAGGCTGGCCACCAGGGCCTGGCCTTCCCTTCTGGCTTCTCACTTGTACTTTTTTTTTTTTTTTTTTGACAGAGTGTCACTCTGTCACTCAAGCTGCAGGGCAGTGGCGTGATCTCAGCTCCCTACAACCTCCACCTCCCGGGTTCAAGCGATTCTGCTGCCTCAGCCTCCCGAGTGGCTGGAATGAGAGGGGCCCGCCACCGCGCCCGGCTTCTTTCTGTATTTTTAGTACAGACGGGGTTTCACCACGTTGTCCAGGCTGGTCTTGAACTCCTGATCTCGTGATCCACCCGCCTCGGCCTCCCAAAGTGCTGGGATGACAGGCGTGAGCCACCGCACCCGGCCCTGTTTTTGTTTTTGAGACAGAGTCCTGCTCTGTCGCCCAGGCTGGGGGTGCAATGGCGTGATCCCGGCTCACTGCAGCCTCCGTCTCCTGGGTTCAAGATATTCTCCTGCCTCAGCCTCCCGAGTAGCTGGGATTACAGGCATCCACCACCACGCCAGGCTAATTTTTGTATTTTTAGTAGAGACGGGATTTTAGTATTTTGGCCAGGCTGGTCTCGAACTCCTGACCTCAGGTGATCCGCCCGCCTCGGCCTCCCAAAATGCTGGGATTGCAGGCGTGACCCGCTGCGCCCGGCTCACTCTCTCCTTCTCTAGAAAGAACTGGAAGCCGCCTGGGGCGTGGAGGTGTTTGACCGCTTCACCGTCGTCCTGCACATTTTCCGCTGCAATGCCCGCACGAAGGAGGCCCGGCTGCAGGTGGCCCTGGCAGAGATCCCGCTCCTCAGGTACCTCGGGACGCCCAGGCCAACCACCACGCCCACCCTGCAGCCCCTCCATTCTGTACTCACATGTGCGGGGGTTCTGGGGGTATATGACAGTAAGAAACGCACTGTGGGGGCCTCTCTTCCCTCCCCTCCCCACTCCCCGCCCCTCAGCCTGGGATACTCCTCACTCACAACGCATTAGCTACACGCCCAGTGGGGCCCCAACACCAGCTCCTCCCTTCTGCCCAGAGGCCCCCCTAATTCACAGGTTCTGGGTTTTAGGATGTGGACCGATCTTCCTGGGGGCTACTGTTCAGTCCACTACACTTGTATCCACTTCCCTCTGGAGGCTGTAGGGAAGGCTCCTTCCTGCCTCTCCCAGCTCCTGGGGGCGCCAGGTGTCCCTGGCTTGTGGCCGCATCACTCCACTGTCTGCCTCCATCTCCATGTAGGCTCCTCCTCTGTGTCTTGAGTCTCCTCTTCTGTCTCCTAGAAGGACACTTGTCATTGGATTTAAGACTTTCCCTAATCCAGGGGGACCTCATCTCAAGATCCTTAACTAATTACATTTGCAGAGACCTTGTTTCTAAACAACGTCCCATTTGCAGGTCCTGGGGAACAAGACATTAACATCTATTTGGAGCATCACTATTTAACCCAGTAAAATGGAATCATCCAGTTCCCTCCAGAAGCTCTCGGGCAGGACCCTTCCTGCCTCTCCCAGCTCCTGGGGCTCCAGGTGTCTTTGGCTTGTGGCCACATCACTCCAGCCTCTGCCTTTGTCTCCACGTGGGCTTCTCCTCTGTGTCTGCCTACAATTTTTTTTTTTTTTTTGAGACAGAGTCTTGCCCTGTCACCCAGGCTGGAGTGCAATGGCTGGATCTCAGCTCAGTGAAACCTCCACCCTCCAGGTTCAAGCGATTCTCCCAAGTAGCTGGGACTACAGGTGCCCACCACCACGCCCAGCTAGTTTTTTTTATATTTTAGTAGAGACGGGGTTTCACCATGTTGGCCAGGATGGTTTGATCTCCTGACCTCATGATCCCCCTGCCTTGGTCTCCCAAGGTGCTGGGATTCCAGGCATCCGCCACTGCGCCCGGCCGTCCCCTTCTGTCTCCTAGAAGGACACCTGTCATTGGATTTAAGACTTAACCCTAATCCAGGGTGACCTCATCTCAAGATCCTTAACTAGTTATATTTGCAGAGACCTTGTTTCTAAACAACGTCCCATTCACAGGTCCTGGGGAACAAGACATAAACATCTATTTGGGGTATCACTAACCCAGTAAAATGGAATCATCCAGTTCCCTCCAGAAGCTCTCGGGCAGGACCCTTCCTGCCTCTCCCAGCTCCTGGAGCTCCAGGTGTCTCTGGCTTGTGGCGTCCTCCACCTTCACCTCGACCTCTGCTGGGAGGGAGAGAGCTTCCCTGGAGAGTGAACCCCTCCTGTTCCCACGCCAGGTCGAACCTGAAAAGGGACGTCGCCCACCTTCACCGGGGAGGATCCGGCTCCCGCTACATCATGGGGTCAGGTAACTCCGGCCGGGTGCAGCGCCCCAGGGTGTCCTGAGAATGCGGTTGTCGGCGGCAGCCCTGAAGGATTCCGACAGGGTGGGGGCCGGCTGGGGGCTCCGTCTCCTGGTCACATCTGAGGAGACAGGAGATGGTGATGCTTCTGTGAGGTTTTGCTGACATAGCCACAAAGGGGTGATTGAAACAGCAGAAATCTGTGCACGTCCATCCTGGAGACCAAGAGCCTCCAGAGGCTCCTTCAGCCTCTCCCAGCTCCTGGGGACGCCAGGTGTCCCTGGCTTGCGGCCACATCACCCCAGCCTCTGCCTTTTAAGAAGGACATGGATCTTTGCATTCAGGCCCAACCCTAACCTAGGATGATGTCTTGAGTTGCACAAAGATGGTATTTCCAAATCAGGTCCCATTCCCAGGTTCTGGGACTTAGGATGCCAAATGGGCCCCATTGAGCCCCCTCACGATGACGTCTCGGCTGTGCCCTGCTTAGAAGCCTCCGTGGAGCTCTAGCCTTTTTCTTTTTGAGATGGAGTCTGGCTCTTGCCCAGGCTGGGGTGCAGTGGTGAGATCTCAGCTCACTGAAACCTCCGCCTCTCGGGTTCAAGCGATTCTCCCGCCTCAGCCTCCCGAATAGCTGGGATTACAGGCGCCCGCCACCATGCCCGGCTAATTTTTGTATGTTTAGTAGAGACAGGGTTTCATCATATTGGCCAGGCTGGTCTCGAACTCCTGACCTCATGATCCACCCGCCTCGGCCTCCCAAAGGGCCAGATGACAGGTGTGAGCCATGGCGCCCGGCCGAGCGCAGCCCTTTCTCAGGGAAAGGGACAGTGTTGGGGCCACTGCTGGGAACGTGGCCGGGCCACCAAATGCTGCAGCAGGAGGAGCAGTCCCTGTGGACCCTCAGTGGCACTGCCCGCTCCCACGCATTTCACCTGGCTCACCACCCCGCCGTCTTGGGTGTTTTTAGGAGAATCGTTCATGCAGGTGCAGCAGCGTCTCCTGAAAGAGAAGGAAGCCAAGATCAGGAAGGCCCTGGACGGGCTTCGGAAGAAAAGGCACGTGCTGCGGCGGCAGCGCATGAGGCGCGAGTTCCCTGTGGTCTCCATGGTGGGGTACACCAACTGTGGTGAGGACCTGTCCAGGGGAGGGGGTTCCGTGGTCTCTGGGGGGGGTACACCAGCTGTGGTGAGGACCTGTCAAGGGCAGTGGGTTCCGTGGTCTCCATGGGGGGCACACCAACTGTGGTGAGGACCTGTCCAGGGGAGGGGGTTCCGTGGTCTCCGTGGGGGGTACACCAACTGTGGTGAGCACGCACCCAGGGGAGGGGGTTCCGTGGTCTCCGTGGGGGATACACCAACTGTGGTGAGCACGCACCCAGGGGAGGGGGTTCCATGGTCTCCATGGGGGGTACACCAGCTGTGGTGAGGACGTGTCCAGGGAAGGGGGTTCCGTGGTCTCTTGGTGGGGTACACCAGCTGAAGTGACCATGTGCCCAGAGGAGGGGTTCCATGGTCTCTGTGGGGTACACCAGCTGTGGTGAGGACTCACCCAGGGAAAGGGGCTCTCGTGGTCCCTGTGGTGGGTACAGCAGCTGTGGTGAGGACTCACCCAGGGAAAGGGGCTCCCGTGGTCCCTGTGGTGGGTACAGCAGCTGTGGTGACAGTGCTATCCACACACACCTCCCTCCATCGACACCATCTTCCCCTCCACGCCATCTCACGCTCACCCGTCTACACCACCGGCGCCACAATGGCTTAGTCCCGCATGTCGTGTGTGGCCCAGGGGCGCCCAGGGAGCTCGGGGACCTGTCACCCGGGGTGCCCCCGCCCAAGAGGGTGCTATGATCGCTCCGAGGCCCCGGGTGTGGCTCCGGGGGTTGGAACCCACGGCTCCCTGCACCCCTGACCTCCACGCCCTCCCAGGGAAGACCACGCTGATCAAGGCGCTGACGGGAGACACCGCCCTGCAGCCACGGGACCGGTTGTTTGCCACGCTGGACGTCACAGCCCACGCGGGCACGCTGCCCTCACGCCTGACCGTCCTGTACGTGGATACCATCGGGTTCTTGTCCCAGCTGCCACACGGCCTCATCGAGTCCTTCGCCGCCACCCTGGAAGACGTGGCCCACTCGGTGAGTTGGGGCTGCCGGAGGCTGGGCCCTCGGACACCCACTGAGAGGGGGCCGGGGTCTCAGACACTCAGACCAGGGCCTGGGGTATCGGACACCCACTGAGACAGGGGATGGGGTCTCAGACCCCACTCAGAACAGGGGCCAGGGTCTCAGACACCCACTGAGACAGGGGCCAGGGTCTCAGACCCCACTCGGACCAGGGTCCGGGCTGTCGGACACTGACTCAGACCCAGGGCCAGGGTCTTGGACACCCACTGAGACAGGGGCCAGGGTCCGGGCTGTCGGACACCGACTCAGACCCAGGGCCAGGGTCTTGGACACCCACTGAGACAGGGCCAGGGTCTCGGACACCCACTTGGACCAAGGGCCGGCCCTCAGATGCCCACTCAGCCCAGTGGCCAGGTTCTCAGACACCCGCTGAGACCAGGGACCGTCTCTGAGAAACCGCATCAGCCAAGAGGCCGGCCCTCGGACGCCCACTCCAACCAGAGGCCAGGCTCTGGGACACCCACACCACTCGCACAGAATCACAACTGCCTCGTCGGCCTCAGACTTAGTGTCCCCAAGCGCCCCTTGTCCCCGGGGCCGAGGCTGAGCAGTGGCCCCAGCCTCACCCACACTCAGCCACCGCGATGAGGCCGTGTACGAATAGTCAGGGCCGGGAGCGGCGGCTCATGGCTGTCATCCCAGCGTTTTGGGAGGCCCAGGCGGGTGGATCACGAGGTCAGGGGTTTGAGACCAGCCTGGCCAACACGGCGAAACGTCGTCTCGGCTAAAATTAAAAAGTTAGCCGGGCGTGGTGGCGGGCGCCTGTAGTCCCACCTACCGGGGAGGTTGAGGCAGGAGAATCGCCGGAACCCGGGAAGCGGAGGCTGCGGTGAGCAGAGACCGTGCTACCGCACTCCGGCCTGGGCGGCAAAGCTTGGGGTACTGGGGTTGTGACCGCACTCCCGGCCCTTGTAGGATCTGATCGTGCACGTGAGGGACGTCAGCCACCCCGAGGCCGAGCTCCAGAAAGCCAGCGTCGTGGCCACGCTGCGCGGCCTGCGGCTGCCCGCCCCGCTGCTGGACTCCATGCTGGAGGTTCACAACAAGGTGGACCTGGTGCCCGGGTGAGTCCGGCCCTGGTGCCCGCGTGCGTCTCACGCCCTCCCCTGCAGGCGCTGCAGACCCTGCCCTCGTGGGAAGTGCGGACCGCCGGCACGGGGGCTGAGGCCGGGAGAACCTGAACCCAGGAGACAGACGTTGCTGCCCCAGGCCGTGCCCCGCGGGCGGCTGACTCCTGGGGACCCTGCTTTGCACAAACGTCTCCTTCCCCTGCGTCTGCAGCATGGGGAGACGCCCCCTGTCCTCCCCTGTCCTCAGCGGTGACAGACACCGGGAGCTTCCCCACGCTGTGCCCCGCGGGCGGCTGACCCCGGGACCCCAGCTTTCCGCCGGCCTGCCACCCCGAGGCTGAGCGGGCTCTGTGGCGTCCACGCCCTTGCAGGTACCACCCCACGGAACCGAACGTGGTGCCCGTGTCTGCCCTGCTGGGGCACGGTCTCCAGGAGCTGAAGGCTGAGCTCGACGCGGCGGTGTTGAAGGCCACGGGGAGACAGGTCCTCACCCTGCGCGTCCGGCTGGCCGGGGCCCAGCTCAGGTGAGCGGCGGCCTCCCGGGGCGGGAAGGGGACGGTGTTCTGGCGGCCTGTCTCTGGCTCACAAAGGGGCTGCTTCGGGGTGCAGAAGGAGCTGTGGGGACCCCGAGGGCTTTAGGATGCAGAGACGAGGTTACATGTGTCTGAATGGGTTCGCAGCAAATGTGTCCTGGGGAGTCAGTGTGCATACAGCAGGCGCCGAATCAGTGCTCAGCGACACTCAAACGCTGTAGGACTCCCTACCAGTAAGAAAGCAGGCTCCAGCGGACGCCGTGGCTCACGGCTCTCCTCCCAAGACTTTGGGAACCCAACGTGGGCGGAAAACCTGAGGTCGGGAGTTCGAGACCAGCCTGGCCAACATGGTGAAACCCCGTCTCTACTAAAAATACAAAAATCAGCCGGGCATGGTGACGGGCGCCTGTAGTCCCAGCTCCTCGGGAGGCTGAGGCCGGAGGATCGTTTGAACCCGGGAGGCGGAGGTTGCAGTGAGCTGAGGCGTGAACACGGCACTCCAGCCTGGGCCACAGAAAGGTCTGATCAATGAATGCCTTGGGGTTAGCTTTCTTTTTTTTTTTTTTTTTTTGAAAAAGAGTCTCCCTCTTGTGCCCAGGCTGGAGTGCCGTGGCACGATCTCAGCTCACTGCAACCTCCGCCTCCCGGGTTCAAGCGATTTCGCGCCTCAGCCTCCCGAGTAGCTGGGATGACGGGCACCCGCCACCACGCCCGGCTGATTTTTGTATTTTTAGTAGAGACGGGGTTTCGCCATGTTGGCCAGGCTGGTCTTGAACTCCTGACCTTGTGATCCACCCGCCTGGATTTCCCAAAGTGCTGGGTGACAGGCATGAGCCACGGCGCCCGGCCTGGGCTAAGCCTAATTATTTATCGTGAAACTAACCGAATACTCACGGGTTTTGCTTTTCCACACGACGCGCCTCCGTCCCCAGCTGGCTGCATCAGGAGGCCACGGTCCAGCAGGTGGACGTGATCCCCGAGGACGGGGCCGCCGACGTCAGGGTCGTCATCAGCCACTCGGCCTACGGCAAATTCCGGAAGCTGTTTCCAGGATGAGCGGACGCCCGAGGAGGCCTGGGGTGCGGTGGCATTGCTGTGTCAGGACAGTGGCGTCCCCTTTGTCAGGCTCTGTGTCCCAGGCGCTTGCTGTGATGACCACGGAGGCTGGTGGCATGCTCACGGCTGCTCCGAAGCGGGCCACCCCAGAGTCCACGCTACACAATTCCACTGGGACCTCAGTGCCTGCCTGCCGTGAACTGCTTTCCCTCGGAATGTTCCAGCAGGACATGAACCTGTGCGTTTGCCTCCGTGAGCAGCATTTCCGGCCTGTCCTGCCTCTGCTGTGAGCCGTGGCCCTGGTGGACGCACGTGGCCTCTCCGCCCGTCTGTCTGTGCTCACAGAGGGGCCTCGTGGCCCACGGCCATGCTGGTGAAATGACTGAAAACCAGGCCTCCCAGCAGCCCAGAGAACCCCAAAAGCAGAAGGGAAAGAAAACAGTTCTATTAATAAAGACGCTTCAAACCAGACCACGACGTCTGTGTCGCAGAGAGAATCTCACCTGCGTGAGGCCAGGCCGTGCGGAGCCACCTGCCCAACGTGGCAACACCCCGCGTGGCCAGTCTGCACACCCGTCCCCGTCCACAGGAAAAACAAAACGCCTCGTATGTTTTCGTTTGCTTTGAGACAAGACTGTCACCCAGGCTGGAGCGCTGTGGTGCGATCTCAGCTCGCTACAACCTCCGCCTCCCGGGTTCAAGCGATTCTCCCGCCTCAGCCTCCCAAGTATTTGGGATGACAGGCGCCCGCCACCACGCCAGGCTAATTTTTGTGTTTTTAGTAGACATGGTGTTTTACCATGTCGGTCAGGCTGGTCTCGAACTCCTGACCTCCGGTGATCCGCCCACCTCAGCCTCCCAAAGTGCTGGGATTACAGGCGTGAGCCATCGCACCCAGCCTCACAACTTAATTTTTTTTTAAACTCTATGACCTGAAAAAGATGCCCAAAGAATTAACTTTTTTTTTTGAGATGGTGTCTCGCTCCGTCTCCCAGGCTGCAGTGCGGTGGCGTGATCTCGGCTCACTGCGACCTCCACCTCCCGGGTTCAAGTGACTCTCCTGCCTCAGCCTCCCCAGTAGCTAGGATTGCAGGCACCTGCCACCACGCCCACCTAATTTTTGTATTTTTAGTAGAGACGGCGTTTCACCATCGTGGCCAGGCTGGTCTTGAACTCTGGACCTCATGATCCACCGCCCTCGGCCTCCCAAAGTGCTGGGATTACAGGGATGAGCCACCGCACCCGGCCTGAATGAACGTTTTCTAAAGATGCCTCCTGCGTCCTGTCCTGAAAACCGGATATTCCTTGGCTGCGTACGTGGTAATAAAATCCACACACGCATTTGACTTTCATCTCCTTCATTTATTTAAATGATCCGTATGAATTCCGTGATTGTCTGGAAGAGCTGCCGACAGAGACCCCGGCGTTTCAGGGCAGGGATTCGGAGCCGATGGGAGTCGGGGAAATCCCCTGCAACTTCACTCATCTCTGCGCGGCCTCGTCGTGGGGTGAGCTGGCCGTGGGTATGGCCGACGACCGCGTCTTTGTGTGTGTTTTTATTTTTTAAAAGGAGTTTTACTCTTGTTGCCCAGGCTGGAGTCCAATGATGCGATCTCGGCTCACCGCAACCTCCGCCTCCCGGGTTCAAGCGATTCTCCTGCCTCAGCCTCCCGAGTAGCTGGGACTACAGGCGCCCGCCACCACGCCCAGCTAATTTATGGGTATGTTTAGTAGAGACGGGGTTTCTCCATGTTGGTCAGGCTGGTCTCAAACTCCCGACCTCAGGTGATCCGCCCGCCTCGGCCTCCCAAAGTGCTGACGTGACACGTGTGAGCCGCCACGCCTGGCCACGAGTGTCTCTTTCTAGATTTTTGGACACCATTTCTCCGTGGCGGCCAGATAGCAAAAACAGAAGCGGGATTTCTTTTGGAAAACGAATCATGAGGTCCCAAAGAGAACCCATTCCAACGTGGACTAAATCACCGCCGTGAAGACCATCGTGAGAAACTCTGATGTCTGGGGTTACTGTGAAAGACACGTCACACTTCCTCGGGAGGCAGGAATAAAAATGGCCACGGGCACCCACTGACTGCCCGAGACCTTGAGCCAGCAGCTCCGACAGGCGACAGGTAGGTAGAAGATGAGGTATAGGCCGGGGCGGAAGCTCACGCCTGTCACCCCAGCACTTTGGGAGGCTGAGGCTGGCAGGTCACTTGAGGTCAGGAGTTCGAGACCAGCCTGGTCAACATGGTGAAACCCTGTCTCTACTAAAAATTAAAAAAAATTACCCGGGTGTAGTGGCAGATGCCTGCAATCCCAGCTACTCCGGAGCCTGGGGCAGGAGAATCGCTGGAATCTGGGAGGCGGACTTCGCAGTGAGCCGAGATCACGCCACGGCACGGTGACTCACGCTTGTAATCCCAGCACTTTGGGAGGCCGAGGCGGGTGGATCACAAGGTCGGGAGTTCGAGACCAGCCTGGCCAAGATAGTGAAATCTCGTCTCTACTAAAAATACAAAAAAATTAGCTGTGCGTGGTGGCGGGCGCCTGTAATTACAGCTACTCTGGAGTAGCTGAGGCAGGAGAATCGCTTGAACCCGGAAGGCGGAGGTTGTGAGCGGAGATCGCGCCATTGCACTCCAGCGTGGGCGACAGAGCAAGACTCCGTCTGAAAAATAAATAAATAGCCCGGGCGCGGTGGCTCACGCCTGTCATCCCAGCACTTTGGGAGGCCGAGGCGGGTGGATCACGAGGTCAAGAGATCGAGACCATCCTGGTCAACATGGTGAAACCCCGTCTCTACTAAAAATACAAAAAATTAGCTGGGCATGGTGGTGCGTGCCTGTCATCCCAGCTACTCAGGAGGCTGAGGCAGGAGAATTGCCTGAACCCGGGAGGCGGAGGTTGCGGTGAGCCGAGATCGCGTCATTGCACTCCAGCCTGGGTAACAAGAGCGAAACTCCGTCTCAAAAAAAAAAAAAAAAAAGAAAAAGAAATAAATTTAAAAAAGAAACCCCATCTCTATGAAAAACAGCAAGTATTGCGGGCATGGTGGCGGGCACCTGTCATGCCAGCTGCTTGGGAGGCTGAGGCACCAGAATCGCCTGAACCCAGCAGGTGCGGGTTGCAGTGAGCCGAGATCACGCCTCTGTGCTCCAGCCTGGGCCACAGGACGAGACTCCACCTCAAACATCATCATCATCATAATTACGTGGGCACGGTGGTTTACACCTACGGTCCCAGCTACTTGGGAAACTGAGGCAGGGGGATTGCTTGAGCCCAGGGGTTGAATGTTACACGGAGCTGTGACTCTGTCACTCCAGCCTGGGTGACGGAGCAAAAGTCTGTCTCACACAAGGAAATACCGGCTTGGTGTGTGTGTGGGGGCTGGCCGAGGCGGGTGCTGGCTTGCGCGGGGGAGCACCCGAGGGGCTTGTTACTGTGTTTACCAATTAGTGACTTGTGGGAGGGCCGTCTTTCCCGGGGTCTGTGAGGGCTGCGGACACCACAGCAGGAAGAATGCAGAAATAAGTCATCCCATCACTTCGGGAGGCTGAGCAGGGAGGATTACTTGAGGCTGGGAGGTCAAGACCCCATCGAGACCAGCCTGGCCAGCACAGCAAGACCCCATCGAGACCAGCCTGGCCAGCACAGCAAGACCCCATCGAGACCAGCCTGGCCAGTACAGCAAGACCCCATCTCTATTTCTTAACAAAAAGAAAAAGAAGGCAGAGAACTGGTCCCCCGATCACCAATATCTGACCCACATGTAAGGCACAATACTTGGGACGTCGGGGGTGAACCTGCAGCCGCCGTGTCCCGGACTTCAGAAAGGTCCCCGTCAGCACCACAGCAGCTTCTGGTTGAGAGCGATCACGTCGCTGACGAAGCTGTCCTCGCTGACGAAGTCGCCCGCGATGACGTTGGTACAGCGGGACCCCGGCCCCGGGCACTGCTCCCGGACCCACGCCCGCAGGCGGGGCAGGTTGGGCAGCGTCATCTTCTCCAGGGACTCCGACGGGTGCGCCAGGATGTACTGGAGGTTCTCAGTGAGGTTGATGCCGGCCACAAACAGCCCTCCTGGAACAGTGAGGTGGAGACGTCACACAGCCACCTGCCTCCACCCGCCCATTTACCCCTCCTGTTCACATGGCTAGAGGTTCAATTCTCAGGAACAATGGCCCCAAAGATGTCCACATCCTAATCCCACGTGGGAGACAGAAAGATGTCCACGTCCTAATCCCATGTGGGAGACAGAATAATGGCCCCAAAGATGTCCACGTCCTAATCCCCATGTGGGAGACAGAATAATGACCCAAAGATGTCCACGTCCTAATCCCCATGTGGGAGACAGAATAATGACCCAAAGATGTCCACGTCCTAATCCCATGTGGGAGACGGAATAATGGCCCCAACGATGTCCACGTCCTAATCCCCACGTGGGAGACAGAGTAATGGCCCCAAAGATGTCCACATCCTAATCCCACGTGGGAGACAGAAAGATGTCCACGTCCTAATCCCATGTGGGAGACAGAATAATGACCCAAAGATGTCCACGTCCTAATCCTCACGTGGGAGATGGAATAATGGCCCCAAAGATGTCCACGTCCTAACCCCCATGTGGGAGACAGAAAGATGTCCACGTCCTAATCCTCACGTGGGAGATGGAATAATGGCCCCAAAGATGTCCACGTCCTAATCCCCATGTGGGGTACAGAATAATGGCCCAGAAAGATGTCCACATCCTAATTCCCACGTGGGAGACAGAATAATGACCCCAACGATGTCCACGTCCTAGTCCCATGTGGGAGACAGACTTATTTCTATCCCGGGCACAGTGGCTCACGCCTGTAATCCCAACACCTTGGGAGGCCGAGGCGGGCGGATCATCTGAGGTCAGGAGTTTGAGACCAGCCTGACCAACACGGTGAAACCCCGTCTCTGGTAAAAATACAAAAAATTAGCCGGGCGTTGGCGCGTGCCCGTAGTCCCAGCTCCTCGGGGGCTGAGGCAGGAGAATCGCCTGAACCCGGGAGGCGGAGGTTGCGGTGAGCTGAGATCGCACCACTGCAGTCCGGCCTGGGCAACAAGACTGAAACTCCGACTCAAAAAAAAAAACAAAAAACAAAAAAACAAACTTATTTCTAAACTGTGTAACCTCATTCCTGGGTAAGGTCAAGAGACCAGGTTGACAGAAGCCTCCTCCTTTGCCCAGCCTGTGAGCTGGGGTTTTTTTTGTTTTTTTTTTTTTTAATAGAGACAGGGTTTCACCATGTTGGCCAGGCTGATGTTGAACTCCTGCCCTTGTGATCCACCTGCCTCGGCCTCCCAAGCGCTGGGATGACAGGTGTGAGCCACCGCGCCCGGCCTCGGGTTACTTGTAAATTGTTTTCACGCAGAGGTGAGGGCAAGTCTATGTACGCGGCCTGAAGCAGGGAGCCACGGGCGGCTGCGTGGACACCACCCCACGGGACGTGGCCTCGTACCTGGGCGGCCGCAGCTCTTCATGGTCTCCAGGTATCGGATGAGGGCGTCCGTCTTCACCTTGTTCCCCCACCAGTAGGGAATTCCCGGCCACAGCTCCCGGTGCCGGGCCAGGAAGCACTCGTCCTCATAGGACATGATGACCTGCTGGCCCCGTGCCCACAGCTGCCTCAGCGTCGGCACCTCCTGCAAAGAACCGGGGTTCAGAGGTGCACGGGAGAGAGGAGATCCGGGGACGTGGGGGCACCCGGGACACAGAAGGGCCAGGAAGTCGGGACGCCGCAGAGCGGGGAGGGCCCAACACGTGTGCGTATGAACCACACATAAAATTCTGCCCGGGCGCGGTGGCCCACGCCTGTTATCCAGCACTTTGGGAGGCCGAGGTGGGTGGATCACCAGAGGTCGGGGGTTCGAGACCAGCCTGGCCAACATGGTGAAACCCCATCTTTAAAATAAAATTAAAAAAAAACAAAAAAAAAAAACAAAATTAGGCCGGGCGCGGTGGCTCACGCCTGTAACCCCAGCACTTTGGGAGGCCGAGGCGGGCGGATCACCAGAGGTCAGGAGTTCCAGACCAGCGTGACCATCATGGAGAATCCCCGTCTCTACTAAAAATAACAAAATATTAGCTGGACATAGTGGCTCATGCCTGTCACCCCAGGTACTCGGGAGGCTGAGGCAGGAGAATCGCTTGAACCCGGGAGGCGGAGGTTGCGGTGAGCCGAGATCACACCACTGACCTCCCGCCTGGCTGATGAGACTGAGACTCTGTCTCAAAAAAAAAAAACCTTGATCTCCACGGCCCCTTATTTTAACCCAGATGTTCCTTTATCCCCCACCCCCCACTTTTTTTTTTTTGACAGAGTCTCACTCTGTCACCCAGGCTGGAGGGCAGTGGTGACATCTCAGCTCACAGCAACCTCCGCCTCCCGGGTTCAAGCAATTCTCCTGCCTCAGCCTCCCGAGTAGCTGGGATCACAGGCACGCGCCACCACGCCTGGCTACGTTTTGTATTTTTATTTTTATTTATTTTTATTTTTTGAGACGGAGTCTCGCTCTGTCGCCCAGGCTGGAGTGCAGTGGCGCAATCTCAGCTCACTGCAACCTCCGCCTCCCGGGTTCAAGCGATTCTCCTGCCTCAGCCTCCCGCGTAGCTGGGATTGCAGGCATCCGCCGGCATGCCTGCCTAATTTTTTATTTTTAGTAGACATTGGTTTTCACCCTGTTGGTGAGGGTGGTCTCGAACTCCTGACCTCAGGTGATCCGCCCACCTCGGCCACCCAAAGTGCTGGGATGACAGGCATGAGCCACCGCGCCCGGCCCAGTCTTTTTTCTTTTTTTTTTTTTGTCTTTTTAGACGGAGTCTCGCTCTGTCGCCCAGGCTGGAGTGCACTGGTGCGATCTCAGCTCACTGCAACCTCCGCTTCCTGGGTTCAGGCGATTCTCCCGCCTCAGCCTCCCGCGTAGCTGGGATGACAGGCGTGAGCCGCCACGCCCGGCTAATTTTTGTATTTTTGTAGAGATGGGGTTTCACCGTGTTAGCCAGGCCGGTCTCGAACTCCTGACCTCGTGATCTGCCCTCGTCGGCCTCCCATAGTGCTGGGATGACAGATGTAAGCCACCGCACCCAGCCCCAGACGTTCCTTTGTATAGATAATAACTCTTTCAATCCACTGCCAATCGGAGCATGTTCAAATCTCCCTGTGACCTGGAGCAGCCCACTTGGAGTGAGTTGTTCCGCCCTTCCAGACCGAAGCAATGCACGTCTTACATGTATGAATCAACGTCTTCTGTCCCCCCTAAAATGTTTAAAAGAAGCTGTGGTCAGGTGCAGTGGGTCACACCCGTAATCCCACCACTTTGGGAGGCCCGGGCAGGTGCATCATTTGAGGTCAAGAGTTCCAGACCGGGCCGGGCGCGGTGGCTCACGCCTGTCATCCCAGCACTGTGGGAGGCCGAGGCGGGTGGATCACGAGGTCAAGAGATTGAGGCCATCCTGGTCCACATGGTGAAACCCCATCTCTACTAAAAATACAAAAAATCAGCTGGGCATGGTGGCGCATGCCTGTAATCCCAGCTACTCAGGAGGCTGAGGCAGGAGAATTGCCTGAACCCGGGAGGCGGAGGTTGCGGTGAGCCGAGATCGCCATGGCACTCCAGCCTGGGTAACAAGAGCGAAACTCCGTCTCCA